TGGAAAGTGGAGCAGCAGATTCACTTGCACAATCTACTTCAACATGGTCAAGAGGATGGTTTGTTATTGGTCAATTGATCCACTTTCCCCCGTCAAACAAATCAACTGATCATGGTGATTTAATATGAGAAAGAAGAAAGTGAACTTAATAATAAATAATAAAATGAACAAAATTTAAGTGACCAATTCCTTTGAAAACTAGAGGCAGCAACAGAAACTACATAGATTTTGAATCTCCTACATTTGGTTTTGCTTCACTAAAACAGAATGAGAGAAACTGAAGACGTTTCCCATCAGACATCTGATTCTAGTGAATCTTATAATCCTGCATGAATGCATCTGATGAAACAGGCTCGAACATGTTCCTGTAGTCACATGAGACCTAAGTATTACAGTTTGTATGTTATGTGTATTTAAATGTGTGCGTGAGGATCGTACGGACTCGTAAACAGCAGAATTCATTCTGGAAACATTTCCAGCAGATGGATCTTCCACTTGAGTCCTTCTCATTTTGTAAATTTTCTTAAAGCACAAGAAAAAGAAAACAGACGCCTGACTGAACGGAGCCGCTCTGCCCTCAAGGTGGACGTTCTTGCTCCTATTCGCCTGTAAATCTACAAAACCACAGCAGCTACCGACATCAAAGCGTCTCTGAAGCTTCTCTGTCTCGGTGACTTATCCACCAGGACAGACACGAGGACGGTTCTCCCGCAGAACAAAGACCCGAGCTGAAATAAGGCGGCTGCAGTCTGCTGGCTATTGACCAGCGGGGAAAAATAACTTTGAGCAGTTTGTCCTGACAAAATGACAGAGGCAGCTTTAATCAATTCTCTCTCAAGGATCAGTGAAGTTTCAGCTCACCTCTTATCTTAATCTGGTCTGTACGACAGGACAGAAGGAACCGCTGACGGGACCCGAAACAGACAAGAGACGTGTTCAAGAACCGTTAACAGCAACGTTTAAATTTACTGCTGGAGAATTCAGGCCACAACTCAAACAAAACACGACTTTTACTACAAAAGCAGCACAAAAGTGTCACCGTTTTCTCCCAGAATTCACTGCTGGTCAACTCATTCAACATTTCTGATTCTATTTAATCGGGTGATTTACTGTAACGTGAAAGTGTTGCTTCTAGAGCCAAACCCACAGAGGACAAACAGCTTTTAGACTCTTTTAGCTCAGTGTTGTGGTTCTCCAGCTCTGTCTCAACTCAATCTCCCCAGAAACCAAACAGCAGATATTTACCTTTTTATCTTTTAAACCTGTTAATGCAGCCGTAAGATTAAAATATAAAATTTATAAAACATTCTGTACCTTGCCAAGAAGTTAGCTGAGATGTCTTCATTTCACAGTTTGTTGTGTAATTGTTAATAATAATCTTAGTGTGAGATTACCATAAAATTACTTTGATCTCTATGTCACCGTCCAAGTTGTGGAGATGTTGAAAATTAACTCAAATCCAAAACTTTTTGTTGCAGCTTGATGTTTTGAACACTAACAGTATCATAGGAAATTCTTATTATAAAGATACTTTGCGTAATAATCAAAGGTCTGAAGACAGATTGTACAGATTGTGAAGCTCCCTGAGGCTTATTGATGATTCAAGATATTTGGCTATACAAATAAAAATTGACTAGACTTGAATAAAATGCTGATATGAAGTTAAATTCTATTAAAAAGGTAGAGAGGAACAACGTTTTACCTGTCAGCGCCTTGGGGCCGAACAGAGCAACAATCTTGTAAAATAAAAAAACAGAAAGGAGAAAGAAACCAGGAGCATCTCATTACGTCTTGAATCTACTTCCTGTTTTGCCTCCTTCAGATACTTAAAGTTGTGATGTTGATGTTGCGAGTGTTTATATATGAACAGCAGAGAAAACAGCGGCAGCAGTTTGACAGGCTCCACAGTCCAGCGAGTATCGGTGCTGAAAAGCTGCCGACCACACAGAATCTCTGCCTCCGTCTCCTCAGCGGGAAAATAAAGTTGAGCGTTTTCCTCCTGACAAAGTGACAGTGGCAGCTTTAATCTATCCGCCGCACCGTCCGAAAGGAGATAACTCCCCGAGGCCATCGATCCGCTAAAGATTTCTGACGCCCGTCCATGATTGTCTTTGTCCCGCTCTGCCTCCACCGAGACTCTGAAGTGCTGATGAAAAGGTTCGGGGTTTCCTCCGATTGCTTATTAAGAACGCTGATTTGCTTTAACCGTATTTCTCGCCTTCACTTTTTACACCGTGATCTCTTGTTCCACCACGCTCTTCCTCCCTCGTTTTCTCCCTCTTTCTTCTCGCCCTTTCACTCCCCACATCAATGACAAGTTCGGATTTCTCTGATTGCTTATTAAGAGCGTTAATTTGTTTCCACCAGCTTTCCCCTGATACGTGTCCTCGAGATTTCCCACAACTCAAATCCCTTATTTTGCTTTCTTCACTTTCTTTTATGTGTCTTAGTCTTTGTCCTCCTGCCCTCTGCCTGGAAGCTGACCTCCTCGTCCACTGGGAGTGTCCTTATTGTCCTGCACTGCTGACGGGATGACAGCAGCGTCCAGAAACCCCTAATTGCTGTGTGGCTTGTCCTCTAATGATATCAGTCTGCACAGAGTGAAAAAATGGAAATGAGCGGCCTCAGCGTGGAGATTCATTATCAGGCTGCTCACTGCTGCGATCCGGGTTCTTCTGTATTTACACTGAATGTTGTGGAGCGGTTTGCTGATGCTCTCGTCCGCAGTGATTTACGACGAGCTAAACACAAGAACAAGGCGGGAGTTTCTTGACGGTCAACATCACAGACAGCTGATAGTGAAGCACGTAAAAAGGTCAGAGGTCACGCCAGCTTTGACGGGAGATGGAACAAAATATTACCCATATTCCACAGAGGGATCATGAATTATGGAAAAACACGTAAGAAAGAAATAAAGTTTTGTTTTTTTGTTTTTGAGGGCCTAAACACATTTCTGCCCCTCTCCCCTCCCCTGTTTTGTAACTACAATAAAATGTAAATAAAACAGGAGAATAAAAAGATATTTAAATTGTTTAGTTTCCCACAGGTCTCACACCACTGATTTTTGCTCATATTAATTTATTTTTCTTTCCTCCATGAAGAAATGTCCAACGTTTCAAGCTCAAACTGGCTGTTCGTTGTACTTTTCTTCATGTAATACATTAACATGATATAATATAATAAAGATATAACTCACAAAGTCTTTTGGAGTCAGCACCTGGACAAGAGAGATAGATGTGAGTCTTTTAACACTTTTTAATTAGTACAAGAAAACAATAAGATTAATCAACATTCACCCAGGAAAAAGAGGCGAATGACAGTGACATGAAGTGTTTTTTCAGTGTTTAAATATTTGTAAAAGTAATTCCATTTTTGTGTCATGCTTTGTTAAGAAATTGTTCTATTGATTTAAGAAATGTAAATCACTCACAGGCTGATACGTCGTGAATATTAGTCTTTATAGTTTATTCTCCAGAGTGAAACCAGGTGACATGTTGTTGTCATTTAAGTTTCATTTGTTTTAACGCTCCGTTCGTTTACTCTGACTTGTCTGTCGTCTGGCTGCATTGGTCTTATTGAACCAACAATCAACACTGATCCTTATTTATAATTATGAGCATTTCTTGGTCATTTCATGTCACTAGGGTCAGGAAACGCCTTTCACATTAAAAGGAATCCATGCGACCTTTGACCCTCTGAGTTGATCTATGGATCACTGAGCTTCATGCTGCTCTGGACACAGTTTGAGAGTCATACAGCATCATTCTCACAATGGTTGTGTTCTGGAAAATCATCCAGCCTTTCTATTGATTCAGTAAGATTTCACATAAAAGCCATTTAATAATGAGAGTCACTTAAAGAACTGTACGTGCTACAGCTTCTGGAAGTCTCCGGTTCTTATCATATAAGACGTTAGCAGTCTAAATCACGGTAAATAAGTGGATGTTTATTTTAGCACCTTCATAATAAAAGCCTTCTGGTTGTTAGTCAGTGGACAGTTTCTACTGTGAAGCAGCAGCAGCAGGAAGTATTCAATTTACATCAGTTTAAAACACCAATAGATTGAAGCATGGCAAAGCAGAAGGTGTTATCACATGGCAGGTGTCAGTGGGTGTAGTTAGTGGAGCAGTAACGTTTTATTTCAAAATCAAACTAGAGCTTTTTTTTTTTTTTTTTTAAGTTTAAATTTATATTTAAGGAAAAAACATGTATTCAAATAGTACAATACAGTAATACTGGAACAAGACTGAAATACCTTCTTGTTCAAAACATATGAACACAGCTGGCAGCAGAGGTTTAATAATGTCTTGTTAACAAATACAAAGTGAGAGCTTATATTAGTGTTTAGTCTTTTTTTTTTGTCTCACTGTCGTAAAATCAGAATCAGACAGAAATAATGTGGATGATAAATTATTACAGACAGTTTTCTAAAATGCAACTGCCTTTTTTAATTTAACGATGCCACAACAAAGAAGCTGAGGAGTCGTCTGAAAGGTTGTCACCTGAGTGATTAGGTTTTGTTTAAGTTTGTGGTTTTGTTGGTTGCATTTGGGCCAATTAAAATAAATGATATGGTTGTTTTCATTCATCTTCAGAAAATGTGACATCAGCAGTAGCTCGGACGCCGGCACATGACAGCTGGGGTGTCAGGGAGAGGAAGTGAGGGTGTCAGCAGGCAGTTAACAGGATGTCAGCGGGTGTTAGCTGGGTGTCGTGTCTAAGTGAAAGTGGTCAGCCCAGCTCCAGTCTGTGGCGGGCGGGAGGGAGCAGAGGGTTGGGTGGGTCGGATGGGTGGGTGGCTGGGGGTACTCACTGTTACTTACTTGAACGGCTTCTCTCCGGTGTGCGTGCGGATGTGGTTGTTGAGCGTTGTGGCCCCGGCGAACGCTCTGCCGCAGTATCCACATTTGAAGGGTCGGTCGCTCGAGTGCGTCACCACATGGTTCCTCAACTCCGACGGCTGAGAGAAGGACTGGGAGCAGTGGCCACACTGGTACGGTCTGAGAGGGGGGGGGGGGGACAGGTGAGAACAGGAGGGTACAGAGGAGGTTGTCCAAATTCTAAAGCTGTAAATAAACTTGACTTAACAAACAAATAAGACAAAGAAAAATGAACACAACATTCAAATAAACTAGATAAATAAATAAATAAACAGACACATAAGAATAACACAACAACAACATACACAAATGAACCATAAAAAACTCAGTCAGGGACAAACACAGACGTTAAAGACACAGAAACAGACGGAGAGGAACCACAGTGTTAGGTCTATAAACACACACAGGGCGAGGGGAGTCGGACACTGCTCCGGTAACCATGGCAGCATGACCCTCATCAACAATGCAGGCCTAGATCATGACTGGATCATCTATCACCGCAAGAGTGTGTGTGTGTGTGTGTGTGTGTGTGTGTGTGTGTGTGTGTGTGTGTGTGTGTATGTGTGTGAGGAATAGCAGTGGGAGAGAGTGAGATAGACACAGTAACAGAACAAGAAAAGAAGAGATATAAAGAGATTGTGTGTGTGTGTGTGTGTGTGTGTGTGTGTCTAGCCCAAATGAGAGTTCACGGTGGGAGAGAATCAGAGTGAAACAAACAACCAAACAATAGCTGTGTGTGTGTTAATAGAGTGTCCTGCTTCCATACAGCAGCAGATCTAATCACACACTCTTTCTATTTACTGGGTTGAACACAGCCTCCCAACATTATCAGCTGATTGTGTTTTAACTTGCAGGACTCTTCTAGCGTGGTCACAGCGTCCGCTCATATCTTGTAAACCTTCTCTGTTTTGCCTTTTATCGTTTTCAACCTTTTATTCCATTTACAGACATTAAAAATAAATGTAATAAAAAAATAAAAAAATCTAACAAATAAAAAACACATGTACACTGCAGGGAGATCGGCTCAATTGCATCGCACAAGATGTCTCAATAATTGCAGGCAGCAAACAAGCATGAAAACTGTGGAATAAAAAGAAGATGCTTGAAACTCGTGAATGTATCAACAGATTCTTACTCACTCATAAGTCACAGAGTTTTTAGTCTCACACTAAGACTGGGGATCTTTCCCAAATAACTCTGTTTGTATTTATTTTGAAATGATTTTCCTTGTGTTCAATTTACCTTTTCCTCCCTCATGTATTTAATGCCGTCGTTACACCAAACAATTCACATTCCTGCGCCTCCCCAGAGTCGTGTCCGTGCTCGCTATCAACTCGGTTTGCTGCTTCCTGAGAAGTTGACAGAGAACGTCACTATTTGCACGAGCCAAGAACGTCGAGACGAGAAAATAAAAAGACACATTTAAGAAGCTCGGGTGATCCGTCTTACACCAAACGATCAAATGATGCAACTCTAGTAAAACTCTCAAGATTTTATTCTAACATTGGAAATTTGTCTGTGACAGTGAAACCGCTGTTTGGTGTAAATTACTAATGCTATTGGTTGTTACTGTGACGAATCAGGTGACGAGGGATGAAGGACGAGGGTCATTAAGGTCCCAGATCCCTGAGACTGAGGCGCAGCTCAGTTTGTGTTCCAGAGGATCTGCTTCCTACAGCGACGAGTGGCTGTGCATCAGTCAGCAGAGCGTATTGATGAGCAGACAGCAGAGACACTCGCAGCTCTGAGGTGATTAGCTGCTGTCTGTCTTCTGTCAATCACATTAAGGAGCCGATGAAGAGGCTGAGATCCCGTTATTAAACCTGCTTCTGATGACAGTTAGCAGGGACACTGTTAACACTGTGATGATTAGTATCGGCTCCATCACTGTTAGGACTGTTGGCATCATCACCACAGCAACTACAACCAACCACCATCTCTACTGTTCAACTGAGAACTGATCATCAATATAAAATCCAATCAGTCATCATCTTTACAAACTGTCAGGTCATTGATTATTACTCCTACCAGCGCCATCATCAATATCACACCTAATCATTTTCGATATAATTGTAAGCAGCAACAATACAGCCATCATCAATGCCACTAATATCTTCAATGAGCAGCAGCTGCTCTGATGCAAAATCACAAAGTAAAATTGTTAAATTAATTTATTAACTCATTTTAAAGGAAACTATTTCATTCAAGGAAAATTTGACGACAGAATTTATGGAACAAAATACAAAATAATAACAATAACTGATGATATAAACTGGAGTGAATGCATGAGATGAGGTTTAAGAAAGATAGATAGATACTTTATTTATCCCCTGCGGGAAATTCAGGGGTCCAATAGCTCATTAGTAATAATAATAATAATAGTTAATAATAACTGATAGACAATAATAATAGTTACTTAATAAATACTTTTTAAATTACATTTTTGTGGATCACAATTATCAGCATCATCACAACATTTGGATCTGAATGAAATACAATTAAAAACACTGCAGTGTAAATGTGCTCAAAACTGAATTCAGGTCCAACAATGATTTTTTAAAGGTAACTCTTGTTTTTTGGAGACGTAATATTATACTTATGAAGATGTTGCTTTATAATTTTTCTTGAATTGTTTTCTTGTATTTAAAGTATGTGTTTGTTTTTCTGACTAAACGGCATTTTAACCTTAAATTCCCGATGAATTTTAACATGACATTTCTATATGAAGCTCTCATCACCATATTTCTCCATATGTTACTTGTATATCCCTCTAAGACAAACATTACATGTCTCCCCTGTATCTTCACTGTGTTCTATATTAGTGTGTATATTAGTTGTGTGTGTGCAGCAGAGAAAATAAAGTGACTGTGATTCTGAGACCAATAAGACAAAACTGTGACATCAGTACCTAACAAATAGGTAAACACCCCAGAACTAGAATAAAACAAATAGACCGACATCTTCACCGCTCCAATAAATCACAAACACCTACTGTACCCTGAGAGGATGTACAGAGAACACACACACACACACACACACAGGAAAGTAATAAGAGTAAAATAGTGTAATATAAAATCGAAAAATTCTCACTTGCAGTTTTCCACATAAAAGGCGTCTCGCCGTGGGGGTCGGTTCATTTATCAGCCGGCTGGTCTATAAGTTCACGCCTCAGTGGGCCGCACCACTATTTATTAGGTGGGTTTTCTATGAAGAGCTGCATTGATTGTGAATAGTTTAAGTTGATGAATGTGTGGATATTATTTATTAAGGCAGCAGGCCGGGAGATTAATGCCCGGTTATTGTTTATTACAGTGGAGAGAGGAGGGAGGAGGAGGGGAAGCATAAACACCTCCATCACACACACACACTCACACACACAGGTATGTGCATGTGCATGTGCGGTCGAAATATTTGCACACAGAAGCACATGCAAATATGTTCTCGTGCACAAATGAATAAAAATCTGCAAACTTGTGAACACAGTCGTACATATGCATGAATGACCACACACGATTTCTACCGCTCTGTCGTTTAGCATGAACCTCACACAACTCAGAGAAGCAGGACAGGAAAACATCCTCAACAACGGAGGCTCAGTCACATTAGTGACAAATACAACAAACTCTAACATGTGCTAAAGCCATGCTCTATACACAAGAAGTGATGAGAGCACAGCAGGGAGGACGTTACAGAGCGCTCCAGCTTAAAACACAGAGTTGTTCAAGAGAAAAGTCGAACCTCACTCAACTTTTGATGAACTCGAGAGATCACTTTGAAATGCGAGCAGCGTAATGCTACTGTTGATGTCTCAAAGTAATGAAAAAAACAAAACAAACTACAGTGTTTTGGCAACCTACAACTCATGAATTACAAAACTCAAACTAGACTTTCTGAATCACATTTCATCATCTCACAGGAACAAACGCAGCCTCTTCTCAGTCTGAGCGACCGGTTAGACTTTTCTTTTCTTCTTAAACACCAAAAACGCAGCAAAAGAAAAGCTTTGAATTAAACAGGGCTACAACTAATGAATATTTTTATTATCTTTATCATTTATACAATGTCAGAAAATAGTGAAAAATGCCCAGTGTAATTTCCCAGAGCTGGAGGTGACGTCTTAAATGTCCCAAAAAGAATCAGATTATAATTCTGTAAAACACTGAAAAGCAGAAAACCCTTAAAACTGAGAAGCTGGGATCATTTCAGCTCTATAAACAAATGAACTTTTCTTTGACTTATATTTCTGTGGACTTTACAACTGTGGCTATAAAACAACCTCCCTCCCTCTCTCTCCCTCTCTCTCAGTACTGATGTTATTTCTGTGCAGAGCTGAGTATCATCTCTCTTGGTGCCTGTTAGCATCACACGGCGTTACAGCCTGACGGTGTTACAGCCTGTTGACAGCACAGTCAGCCAAATATGTTCAGAGTCAACACCGCAACAGGCTAACAAAACACTAAATAGATGCTTCGATGTGGTTCACAGGCAAACTAAAAATACTTGTTTTGGACGGGTGATGAGAGTAGAACCGACTGTGTCATTCCCACTTAGTCTCACCTCTGTGTGTGTGTGTGTGTGTGTGTGTGTTCGTGTGTGCGTGAGATCTATAAAATTAGTCATTTTCAACACGTCTGTTAAATGTGGTTCAGGACAATAAACCTTGCGTCGCCTTTCAACACAACATGTGGTAACAACAACAGTGAGTGTCAACGTTGTCACTGTGTCCACACCTTTAACACATGAGCTGCTGAAAGAGGCAGAATGTGTGTGTGAGACCCGAACTACAGGTCCGTTACTAACAGAGCATGGGAATGAAGTTTCCTAGCGCACATTTCATTTCGTCAGGGGTCGAGAAGGTGGTCGGTTTGAAAACAGTAAACTAAAAAATAAAAAATAAAATGTCCATGTTAATGAGTTTCATCATCAGCTTTGTGTTGTGACCAAAACATCTTTCTGACTTCTGCACTGCCAAACAAGGAGAAACCCAACAAGTGGATTTCTGTGTCAGTCTCTCTCGTCAAATCAAAAGGAGGGGATTCTAGGCAGGTTATTTCATTGTGACTTCAAAATAAAAGCCCATATACAAGTAGCCTAAATGAAACAATGTATTTCCTGTCGAC